GTGGGCCTGCTGTCCCTCCTTCGCCAGGGTAAGTCAGGCAAGATGGTTTCTGGAAATTAGGCGGCCCGCGCTCCGAAGTGCGGGGTGTTTCGAGACCCCTTACGCTCCCCACTCGACAGTGGACACGGCGGACGGTGTTATTGAACTCGTGGGGGCCGACGCCCCAGTTTCGTGTTCACTTCCTGCCCCAGAACGGTGAGCACGCGCACAACTTAAGACTCCCCCCGGATATCGACAGCGAAGTCTCAAATTACTTTCGACAGACTGGAAGTCGTCATGCAACACGTAACAGCGCAACGCGTGGTTTTAAATGACCCAATTCTCTGCAGTTTCTTTCGGGCTCATAAAAGGAACGCAAAACATTCGATACGTGCGGGGCGCAAAATAAAACTGTCCGTCTGTCCGTCCGCCCTTACGTAACTAAGAATTTAACAACAACTCGAATGTCTTAAAATGCCGATCGCACAGTAACTGTTACGCCATGCGTATATTTCCTGACTTGTTTCATACTTTAAATGTAACTTCTTTGTAGTCTAAACATTATACTCTGTTCTACCGCCAAATTGGTAAAATTAGAGGGTTCGTGGATGAATACCACCTTTTATGAGAGACAAAAGTGTTGTTCAAAACTGCTGAATGTCGTAGGATCTGAGGTTTTCGTGGCGGTGAGTCTGAAGACGGCTGGCTTCTGGGTTCTTTACCGACGTTTCAGAGGTCCTTGCTGCCTCCATTATCGTCCTGATGATGGAGGCAGCCATCTTCTGCTGAATATTGCTCTAGGTCGCGAAGTGGCCTTTTCACACGCCGAGGCGAAACAAAATCAGTGGCGGATGACCGCCCTTCTGCAGCGATGTAATTATTCGCAAGGTCAGAGAGAGGACAGATCCGCTGTTTACTTAATAAATATCGAGTCCCCGTCACTTAAATGTCAACACCACGTTCGCCTTCTAATGTTCTCAGATGAGTTATTCAGCTAATGCAGTATCAGTATAGGGTGTGCAAATGTTGAGAGCGGTCTTCGTTCTGAGTCATAAAACTCAATCCATGCCTGTTTCCTTGAGATTCATTTTAATATTATCCCCTGTTCAAGTAATGATTAAATGTGTTTGAAGTGTTGCCCGTTTTTTACAACGTATTAACGATGGTTTCTGAAGTTAGTTCGAAAAAGGATACTTAATTCCGTTTTAAGTTTGTGGCTCTAAAGAAGATGTACAGAGAATTAATGCCAGTAAACATTTAATCTCTTGAAAGTGGAAATTCTAGGTGTTACATACGACATAAATAATGGAATTCGGAATCTGAAGGCAGTAAAAACTTTCGTAGGTGCAGGTGAAATTATTTTACGAAGTTTGAATACCATTTCGTAAGATTACACAAATAAAAAAATTGAAGAAAATTTATACGATGCATTTTACTCGATTATTCTGGCAAAAGTGGCCATAAAATGTTGGCGTCTTTCTTCATTTCATTATGCCAGACGAGTTACACAAGCGTCACGAAGCTAACTTGTTCTAAAAATAGCCGATTATTTCATCTCACGTCACCCGGGGAGTTTTCCTGATTGTAACTGGCTTCCTAAATACCACGGATTCGATCAGTGTCCTGAGGAACGTGTCGCCTCAATCTTGAGGGTGCTGCTAGTCACGACGGTTTAAAATACTGATCGCCGTCTTTCCTACCCCAGCATCCACAGTCAATTCGGCGTCACTGGCCGGACGACAGGAGTTCGACTCGAGTCCGGGGGCAGGGATTTTTCTCTTCGCCGACAGCAGACGGGCTCTGGGACCCTCGCAGTGCGTGTGGGCGGTTCTTTACCGCAAGGCAACAAAGCTATTTCCATAAGAACCTCAGAACGGTGGCAGGGGATGCTGGAAATACATTTAATCGCCAGCAGATTCAGCGTTCTGCGCAGTGCAGGTGACAAGGAACACCTTGCACAATGTCAAAATGGTCACCGAGTGCCAACTGGCACGAGGCAGTACGTGCCGGCGAAACAACGCAGGAAAGACAAACAGTTGGCTTTCGCGAGTCGTATTATTTCGGGGGTGGGGTTGACTGACTCACTCTGCCTCGATCGAGCGTTCGAGAATCCTCGAACTTTCTCAGCTAACCCTGTGAAGGACAGAACTCACCCAAATAACTCTCAACGAGTTAGGAAATGTTCGCATGGTACAAAAGGCTCCAGTGCGCTCCGTCTGACTGCCTACCTCCAAGCTCCCAGTGACAGACGAACTACGGCCCCGATATAAAATCCGATCAATTTCTCGGCTGTCGAGTTATGAGTTGAGTCTTTAATTACGTCGCAAAGAAGGCGCAAGACTTACGTAGAAAGTGAAATTGACACAAAAAATGTATTTCATCTGCTCCCAGAAACATTTATGGACGCAACGCCAGAGAGGCGCAGATGAAGTGAAGTCAAGTGTCCGTCTGTAACAAAAACTGGCCACTTGTCGGCAGTAGAAAGTGAAACGGCTCGTATTAAGTTTCATAAAAATCGATTCAGCTGTTCTGGAATTATACCCAGGTCGGCGAAGAGCTAAGTCTCGCTTGCACGTTCGTTGCAAGGCGATCGACCGCGAGCACCTCCGAAATGTCGGTCATGCCGCAACATCTCAAAAGACGGCCATCTTGACACCCCCATCACCATCGCAAAAGTGTTTTGGTGACGCTGTTTAACCTTCGAAGCAGAGAAAAACCCAGTGGGCGACCCAGCTGAGGTCTGAACTAACCCCCGGGGCCCATGGCGGCTCCCGTCGAAACGCAGGCCCAGCCCGGATCTTCCTGACTCACTGGCGACTTAAGCTGCTCGTATGTCAGTGGAGGATGTGCTGGACAGCACGACTGGATTGGAGCAGATCGCCGAGGAGAAAGCGAGAGAAATTCCACTCCTTTTACGGAAAGCGAACCCAGCCGGCAAAACGAGAAGATTCTGGATCAAACTTCGCCATGCCCAGTTTTATTGTCCTTGTATATCTGACATTTATTTAATTAAGAGCCGCATTTTAGAATCTGGTCTCGTCTTATTCTGCAAGTATGGATCAATACACCCCAAACCACAATGTAAATTATACCTGATCACGTCTCGCCTGCATCATTACGCCACTTTTAACACATTTGAAACTGGCACAGCCGCGTGTTTGTGTGTCGCGGGTGACGAACCGAAAGACAGCGAAACCCGTCCCGTTGACCAAATACGCGAAGCACTTGCTTCCACGTGACCGAACCCAGTGCAACCGATCAGGAGCTCGGATCGAAGCCATCTTTGGTAGAATCGGTGCCTTTCGACATGTGGCAAGAAATTGAGATCGCGCACAGAAAAAGAATCTGTTACGGGTCGCCACATTCACTATGCAACCGGACACACGGACATGAGAACCAATGGCAGAGAGATTCGGCGATTACAGTTTTCAGCCTGCACTCTGGATGGAGAGAGAACAGAATGCTGGTATGCGGAAGGAAAGTGAACTGCGGAGAAGAAATCTGTGGGTCTACAGAATTTTGAAATCGTAAATTAAGTACAAGAAACCGGACAAACTGGTGTACGCGGTGCCGAAATAACTTGGACGTCAGTCAGTTCGAGATTGTAAACAGGGGTCTATTCGGGTCCTGTGAAAGGCGGGGAATTTGGAGCAGCTGAGCAAGTATCAGCTGCTGCATAGTGCAGTTGCAACGTCGCCCAGAACACGAAGCCACCCACTCACCCTGTCGTGACCACTCTGGCTCCGAACGTCGTCCTCAATACAAACGTAATGAGCATTTTCCCAGCGCACGGACTGTCTGGGGTTTGTTAACCGCCAGATATTATCTCATCCTGTCTTTTGCTTTTGTTTGCAAGAATAATGAATTCAAACAGGGGGAAAAATGTCTTTCCAAGCTGTAGGAGGAATGCGTGGAAGTTGCTTGGTCGTTAAACCCTCAAAGGCACGAAATATTCTGTCGACTGAGTTGTAAGGACAACCCTTTTGCACTTGAGCTACTCAAAGTTGCCTAGCGCGTATTTCTGTCCTCTGGGTCTCCGCCAACGGGGTGGCGGGTGAGGAACACGAAGAGCTCAGCAGGTGCGACGCTTGCATCTCAGCTGATTGACTGTTATGAAGCTCTTGGTGAGATTTCAGGTTCTCGCGACGACGAATATGAAGACGCCCGTCTTCTGGGACGTTGACCACCGAGTAGTCGGCGTCTCTGATTCGATCAATCTCGCCGGGGGGCTTCTTCTTACGTCCACAGAACGCTGAAGTGCAAAACCGAAACACGTACGTCGTTCGGGGGAAGCTAAGTGTGTCACGTGACGTAACAGTCTTTGCGGCTTGCAGCCACGTGGGCACACGCTGACGCTGGAAGGTCGGTTCGCTGTGACGTAGAAAAATTGCGATGATGTCATGCACACATATACGTCGCGAGAAAGAGACTGTAGCTCAGGCGGTACGTCACGGGAGAGGAGCCCCTCTTTGGTCCAGATATTCCCCTCAGGACTTTGTTGTGAACCACCTCCAATGCAGTGTGCATAACATTTTGTTCTAGGCTGTACAAAGTGGCTTGCGATGAGCTTGAAACAGATGAGGTGACGAAAATGTGTCCCCAGGATGTTCAGTTCGATGTCGCCCCCCCTCCCCCGCCCAAAAAAAAAGACCCCCAACCAACGTCATGGAGGGGTTTCAGAAGTGTCAGGGGCGCTGATGAGTTGGGAGCTTCATTATCACACCTCGTGGTCCGTATTTTTAGACTTCTCAATTTGGTCCACGTGTCTGCGTCCTGTCCCTGGGACTGACAGCGAGGAAAGGGACGCCGTATTTGGGCTGCTTTTCTCGTCTCTCCAAGAGAGGAGACGCCGAAGTTACGTAACGCCACGCCCGGACGTGCCCAAACAAGGAATGGTCCGACTACAAATGAATTATGCATTCCAAGAGCTCGTACGTGCACGGCCGATCGCCTCAGAAGACTTCGTTGCATTCAGTCGCCGTTAAAGCTTCACATCTTATATAATTATTGGTATGTTCATTACATACAAGGGATTTTTAATTCTGTGGTTTGCGTTAAAAATAATATTTGCGAACATTTGACTGTGCAACTATTTTTTTTTTGCAACGTCAGTTTCGAAGTTACTTTCTGAACTGCGACTTTCTCGGTCAATTCGAGCTTCGTTGTAGAATTTCATATTTTTGGTTTGGTTACTTGGAAGCCGCTGTCACAGCGAGTTCGTAACTTCTGTGATGCGTTCGTCTGTGCAGGAGATAACGCCAGAAGATATCCAAGGAGTTGTTATTTATGTTAACGAAAAACATTATTGCACAGAACTCAAAAAGAAAAAGTGAGAAGTGTTAATAATATTAAAGCCACACAGTTACGCCCCTGAAAGACGTTCTCTGCAGACACGTCGGGGCTGCAGCTACTAGGAAGGCTTCGGTGCAAAGATGGCATGACCCAGATCAGGTTGTCGGCTGTAAAATTAAAATAGAAGAATCCTGTGCATGAGGCGGGAAAGTCCGTAGGCTTCTTCGAATACACGCGATACTGAATATTTATAGCAGCCTTTTCATCCTTTCCTGAGAAAAATATGAAATGTCGCTTGCTCTCATCTTGCACCGAAGTCTTAAATTTCAGTTTGTAATCAGCTGTGACGAGTGGTAAATAATTTCGGAGATCCTTACCTGGTTGTGCTCTTTGTGAAGAAGTTGGATTCCCGGGTCATCAGTTCGGACCGGAAGCGAGCCATTTCCTCCTCCATCTTCCTCATCTCGGCGTCGAAGCGTTCTCTGATGTTGCTGAACTCCGTGTCTATGACGCTGAAGTCTCCCAGCTTGATGGGAATATTTCTTCTTATCCCACTCTCGGCCATGTCGTCGAAAGAATTGGCTCACTACGCAGTTAAGCTACGTACGTGGGTCGGGTCACTTACTAATATGATCACAAACGTCTTCCTGTTTACCTCTGTCAGCGCACGCTTGTATCACCGGCTCAAACGCGATCTATGAACACCCGGACTACACCTCGACGTCGCGACTTCGCAAACCTCAATGACCTGCTTCGCTAGTCGCAGTGGAGTATTTAAACGACTGCGTGGAGGAGACGAGGGCGGGGGACGCCGTTCTGGTCGCCTCGTTGCTGTTCAGTGGCGGTACACAGACGGGCGGGCGGGCTATGACGTGGCAGTGCCCAGTAATCGATAATGCCAACCCCGCCATCTCCACAAATGGAAGGGTAAAACAACTTGCTACCTGACAAAGTTGTTTTAGGTATGATAATTCAAACAGCGCCCACTTTCAACCATCCCACTGCTAGGCCACCTCAATCCTGCCTCTTGGCGTCCGAATGCTCCTAATTGAGCAGCTGACGGCGCTCAGGTGGTCAGGAAATTCGACAGCCTCTAACCGAACCCGGTTTTAAGCCACTTTCTTTCGGTTACTGTATCTCATAGCCAATCAGAGTACACGTAGGCGCTTGGGGGGGGGGGCGATATAGCTCCTACTCATTCTGGCCGTTTCGCTGAAGATAAACACGTTTACGTGCTCTGGCGTGGTCTCATGGTTGGGTCACCTGGTCAAAATTGTAGCGCATTTCAGTTCTGTCCCTTCGACTGAGGTAACTGTGCGTTAAGAGAGGCACGGGTGTGTTTGTAGAATAGTCTGTGTGTTGAATTCGGGTAAAACCAGTGTTTCGTCGTCTGTTCTCTGTGTGTGTAAAATTATCGGGTCTTTGATGAGTTTTCTTTTTTCCTATTGGCGACACTGCCCTCCGAATGGGGAGCAGAAGAAGAACGCTCGGTGACATTCACGTGGTTTTGTTTTCGAAAACCCCACACAATATTTTTACGTCTCGGCTGGGTCAGTAACAAATTCCTGTCGTGTTTCGGGTGGGTCGTAAACTCCTCTTTCAGTCTCACTGGACTGGTGGAATCTTTGAATCACTCCGCACCCTTTTTCCCTCTCAAATAACTTTTGATATTGTCTCATCTCCCCCTAGGTCCGCCCCTTGCTGACCTCCTCCTCGCATCGCCTTCCTGGGACTTTTGGACCGGATCTTGTCTTACGTACGAGGACTGCGGCTTTGACTAAGAGCCCTTCCTGGAAGGAAAGTGACTAGTGTGAACAGAAGCACCGAGGTTTCTTTCAGTTGTCGCCATTCGGTGTTCCGATTTAGCATCGCTGAACCACGTGACGTAGTCGCTGACTCAGCGACGAGAATTAGTTTTGCTGGCGGCCATAAGGTTACGTCACATCATCGACTGCAGTGGACAGCGAGCAATTCGCGAAATGCTGTTCAGATGGCAGGGCACGACACGTAGCATGCACTACCTACATACCTACGCCCAGATGCGAGGGTAATATTAAAACGAATCTTAATACATGTAAATGCAGTAATTAATTTTTGTGTTCCGGGGAGTTTTTGACCAGTTCAACTACTGTCAGCTTATCAAGAAAGGGAAAGTTGTGTGGCTGAAAGACAGTTAAGTGTCTTGAAGCTACGCCCATACCAGAGTCAGGGAAACAAATGGCCGACCTGTGCCAGGCCAAACAAGGCCAGATATTGAGCGACTGATAATATTTCTGTCGATGTTCGGAGCCTTTTGATGTAGTGTCAAGGAGATTTCTGTTTGAGCTTTTCAAACTGAATGCACTTATTTTTAGGCATTTCATATGTTCGTTCACTTCCAAAGTTTACCTGAGATGAAACAATTTAAACGCGAGCTGTAAACCTCAGCGCCGTGGTCAACGTTTTAGACGCCTAAGGCTGTCCCAGATGCGGTGTTTTAGAAAACGTCTTGACCAGCTGAGCGACTACCAGATTTTCAATAATTTACCACTCCCGCTTCGCCACGAGCAGAGTTTCTTGTTTCGTGTTGGCTGCAGACACTGAACAGCTGTAAATCTGTACAGTAAAATTCGGTCTTCGGTGATTATTTTTAAAGTCCCCCCCCCCCCCA